AGGAAGAGTTTTTTGTTGAATCTGAAGTGCTTTTTCGTAAAATGAAATTGCTTTCGAGTACTCTCCCATCTTGTCATACGCACAACCGATATTGTTGTATGAAATACCAAAATGAGGATGATTTGAAGGAAGAATTTTTTCACAGATTTGAAGGTCTTGTTCGTAATACCAAATAGCCTTTTCATAGTCAGCCTGGTGATCTTTGACATACCCTAGTTGATTATAATAAAGATGCTTTTGACCCTTATTAGATGGCTGTTCGAGTAATATGTTATAAAGTTCTTCAGCTTTATCAAATTGACCAACTTTAACTAATAAGCCACCCAATCTCTGCAATCCAATACCACGAACTTCTTCTCGCATCCGATCAGTAAGCAATCGTAGTTGTTGATCGTCGTCCGACGTTAACTGTAGTTCAACTTGATAAAGTTGATTGTTAATGCCTATTGCTTTAATTGCACTCACTCGAAAGACGGTATGCATTGAGAAGAGAATTTCATTTTCTTCCTTAAAATAGCTCTTGTCTTTGATGGAGGCAAATGGTGCTGATTTTATAGAAGGATCAATTAACATTACAAATAGAATGCCTATCTTGTCCGGTATTGTTGAAGCAATACAAGCATAACCGATGGATACTTCTTTATGCCTGCTGGTGGACAGAAAATTGTTAAACGACATTAAGCCGCCTTGTATTTTCTGAAGTTTTTCGAAGTCTGATTTCAAAAGTCCTTGTCCTCGATAAACTACGAAAGATTCTCTTTCATAGGTGCTGACTTGTTGTTCATATAACTGTTGAATTTGTTCATGTACATCACGTAGGAAAAAACCCATATTAATAATTATATCAGCGTTCATTGTTCGAAGACCATCGTTGAGCATAGAGTAGATAAATGATGGATAAGTATACCACCAAATAGCTGACTGAGTATCATAATGTTTTTCAAATTGATCAATATTCTTTTCCGATCCGGATTTATTTTGTCGACAGTATGAAGTAAATTGTTTGATCGCTTGTTCATCATGTTCCATATCAAGAAGAATATCCTTGAATATTTGAGTGTACATGAATGTTGGTTCCAACTGATTTAAATTATAAGTTGAATCCATTTCATTTACAGTAAAAAAACTCATGGCAATCGAATCTTGATTGTATGTCTTGATACCCGATTGTAATGCTCTGCAAAAGTCACCGATGTTGCTATGAACACTCTTGATTTTTTGCCATTTCGTTGTCCATTCTTCTTGTAGGATTTCAATATCACTGAAGATATAAATACCATCCAACTGAGGAATATCATTGATGAGGGATATAATTTGTTGAGCGATAGTGTTCTCGACAACGAGAAAAGACTTGATGTCTTCACTATCGGAGATAAAGTCGACGCATTCATCTCTCTGTGTAAAGACGTTGACATTGTTGGTAGCGGTTTGTATTTGTGTCAAAATATGCTTGTAATCTTTGTTTGTTTCGTCCATGGACTCATCTAACCAAATGAATAAATGATTTTGTACGATACGTCTCCCACGTTCGATATTACTAGGTGTTGTGTCCATTTTGTGTATTGTATGGGATTTTTCGATTGACTAGGTAAAAGTAAAGGAGATGAATAAGCTCTATTATTTATATGAGAATCGAGTGTCTTTATGTAAAGAGGCATGTGGCGCCGTTATCTATCTTTATATGTTTATTTAGATAATTTATAATAGAACTTTGTCCTCAGTATCGTTTTCATATACGTTACAGAGCCAGGTGACCACAAAGAACGAAAAAAAAAAGAATTCATTTGTTTCAACTTTTTTCACAGATAAGAGATAATATCGTCATTAATAGAAAAAAACCATATTTTCTTTGTAAATAAAACACGTTAAAAGTCTTGCAGCATTTTCTTTTGTATTGGGGTGGGTGTAGAAATGGGTGAAATATAAAGATAATACCCTCTCCCATCTCACGCACACCCACATCCACATCCTGAAAACGTTTTGATTAGTTTATGTAAATATTTATTGTTAAATAAAAATAGTTGTCTACAACAGTGTTACAAGATACTTAATTACAATAAACAAAGAAGCTTCTAATGGTACAACATTCAATAGGTAGTTTGGTACTACGAGTAGTTTGTATTAATAATTATAAACAACATATTAACCCTTGATAATGTGTCTAACTTCAAATCGAAATTTTTTAGACACGAGAAAATTGGTATAGAAGCCAACACAAAATGGGATATAAGAACTGAAAATAGCAACAGTCATAAGTAAGGTTGCGAGTTCAAGTTCAGCAAAACTAGATGATTGAGTTTGAACTATCTGTAAGTACATAAGAGCAGGTGGCATCAGTGCACTGAAGATAATATATATACTAATATCAATAATTAAAACATGAATAAGTTGACTATCTTTTGAATGAGTAGGACGCACAGCAACAATAGCTGTGCTGACAGTAATAAGAATGATCTGACGTCTTTTTCGAAGATTTCTCACAGTCCACACTCCCAAAGTAATCATCAGTAAAGGAATAAGAATATCTTGGATTAAAATTATATAATAGTTTATGAATGTTACATAGAATCCAGGCTGGAAAGAGCAAATGATAATATTTGGTAGCGGTTCTATAATATGCGTTAGAAATAATGCATGAATATGAACTAATAACCAAAATAATGTTACACCTATGATGGATATATAAGTTAGACGTAAGGTGCTTCGTTGTCTTGTTAAAGCATTTGGTGAAGTGATTAATATTCGATCAATTGATGCCAATATTAAATAAGTTGGACTTAAAATAGTAGACAAAAGCAGTGTATAATAACGAAAATGACAGAAACTCAGACTATATAAAGTAGGATCGATATTATAACCAATTGATAGTATCGCTAATAACATAGTTGTATAAATCTGTAGAAGATTACCAATATTATATGCTACCAAATATATTGCACATGGATTTTTACGTAGATTCTTTTTTGTAAAAACAATCAAATTTAGTACGCAACTTACAGTACCCAGAATCATCAAAATTGGTCCACCGTATTTATATAAATTTGTTTGTATTGATATTAATAATGAATTGTAATCTATTTCTGAAGACATTTTAATTGATTTATCTAAAAGAAAAAAAACATTCAATATAAGAGATATTATGTTAAAACCAATTAACTTCAAAATTCTCTTCTGAAATATTTTATACCAATATTCGAATTAAATATTCTATTACAATTTATGCCGTTGTTTATCACACATTGGAATAATGTTCTCATAGGTCAATTCCAACAAAGATAAGCTAAAAAATCTTATTAATAGATTATAACGCAAAGAAAACGACGAATTATACTGTCTATTTATATATTATGCTCGTGATTAACTCTGTTTATGCGATAAAATTTTGTTTATAGTGTCTCAAGTAGAAAAATAAAAGAATGAAAAAAGCGTTCTCATTTACATGAAAAGAAAAAAATTCATTTATCAACAAGACTGTAAGTACTCTTTGTGTTCTCAAAGGAAACCACTTGAGAGATAATAATTAAAATTTTATACAAATTTTTTAGCTAATAATATATACGAAAGGAATGACGCTGCATCTTAGGTAGGGGTAGGACAGTTCATAGTTCCAAGTTCAGATGAACTGGTCAAAAGAACTATCAGTTCAGTTCTTCTGAAAGGAACTGAACTGAATCAACAGTTCTTTCAGAAGAACTGATCTGTTTCAACATGGCTAAAACGAATGAGTTTATTAGATTAAGGATTGTTTTGTTTTTACGACTTATAGCATGGAGTAAGAGGACAGAAATAAGGAACTTTCCATGACAAATAGTTTCTGTTTTGTGAGCATTTCTCCAGACGAATTAAATGATACAAGTAAAACGGCACAGACTCTGATAAACCATCCACTCAAAGAAGGCTTACTTGGTAGAACAAAAATGTTCGGTTATAAAGTTTCGAGTTTCTTCCATCTATCTTTATTTAATACTAATCTATATTTTACAATATTAACATTTTTAAATATGACGAATTTCACTACATTAATAATAAAAGAAACCATGGCTG